CAATATAGTCCAACCTCAGTGGAATATATTCTACAATGGGTTCTATTAATAGTCAATGCAGCAGCACAATTCACAATTCACAATAGCTAAATATGGGAACCAACCTAAGTGCCCTTCAACAGATGAATGGATAAAGAAAAAAGGGACATGGACATGGACACACACACACACACACACACACACACACACACAATGGAATATTACTCAGCCATAAAAAAATGACTTCATGGTACTTGCTAGTTAATGGATGGGTCTTTGAAATAAGAGAATCCCCAAAAAACCAAGGCTGAATGTTCTGATATGTGGAAGCTAACCCACAATGGCTGGGCATTAAGAAAAAGAATAGAAGTTCAGTGGAATAGGCAAAGGGGAATGAAGGGAAGGGAGGGTGGATGGAAATAGGAAAGATAGTGAAATGAATAAGACATAACTTTCCTATGTGCATATATGAATACACCACAGTGAATCTCACCAATGTGTACACCCATAAAAATTTAATCCAAAAACTTACTATGGGTAAATGACAGGAATATCAGTAGACAGAAGGGAGCAGGGATGGTGGAGGGGAAGGAGAGGTACTGGGGATTGAATTAGAATAAAATACATGACATGCATGTAGAATTATGTCAAAATGGATTCTACTGTCATGATAACTAAAAAGAATCAATAAAATAAAAATCAACCTAAATGATATGAAATAAGTGTTCTTATTCATAAAAAATTCTAGTTGTTTTAATTAGTGGCAATTCTTCTGAATTGATATATTTTAACCCTTTTGATTATCTTATATAAGCTCTTTAATGTTTCTTGTCATGATATCAAAATATGATGGTTGAAATAATGATGTAAGAAAATAAAAATTGTACTTAAACAATTTATAGCAAACTCAAAATATACAGCCTTAAAGACACTCTTCTCTTTTACAGTAAATGTTATATCTTTTTCTTTGAATATTTTTAAAGACTAAAATTTTTCCTGCATGCAAAGTTAAGCCTGAGATCATTCACTACCCAAGTAAAACTTTCCAAAAGGCAGAGCTAATTCTAAAAACAACTCAGAGTGATGCAGGGATTAGCCAAGCAGAAAATAGAATCTGTGTCACCATTCTCATGAAGTCAAAATGAAGTGGATTAAAACTAAACTCTAATTGGTTTGTAAATGTCATTTTGAGGATACAAAAATTCCTCCCAAGTCCTTGTGTTCTTTTTTGTTATTGCTAGTCAAATTTAACTGTCACCATTCATTTTTCATTCTAAAGTTACCCTAGTAAATAAGTAAGGGCATTTCCATATTGGATTGCATATCCCAAATGGAAATGGCTTTTTATGGTAATATGCAAAAGTCATCTAGAACAGGCACAATGTTTTATCCTTGATTTTTTGATCCCTTTAAAGAGAACATCTTTACTTTGTTATTCACATGGAAAAGCTGACAAAGCACTCTCTTAATATAGAGGGTTGTTTGTGGATTGGTAAACAAACCAATTTGTTTGAAACTCAGGGAGGCAAACATATATATATATAACCCACCATGCATTTATAATATATATCTTATAGCAAAATCACAATAGGAAGTGAACTGTTTGATTACAATAGGGTATATTTCAAAGGTGATAAACCTTTTATATCTGAGAACATAAAAATGCACTATTAAATAATTTCACCCTAGATGTACTTATTTTTGCATATGTTAACATTTAAACACACTAGACATAGCTCTTGAAATTCCTTATGCTAATGTATACTGCTACTTATTTTAAAAGGCAATTTCATTTAAAATCAAACCTCAGGTCTCAAAACACTATTTAAGGCCAAACAAAGCATATCAATACAAATGCAAGATATGAAAGCCTTCAATGTTTCAATGATAATTTAATTTATAAATCAACACAATAAAACGTTATGTTTAAAATTCTAAAAACATTATTTGGTAGGTATTAGCTTCAGTCCTCTAATAATATAAAAAAATTCCCAAGCATAAAACAAAATGTTTCATTAACCTCCTAAGGGGCATAATAGATATGAAATGAAAATTACTTTGGAGAACAGCTGACATCGTCATGCATAAGCTAAAGAAACTATTTGTTTGAATAAAAATATGAACTTTTCAAAGATAATTATCATACAAAGCTTGAAATAATTCCATGAAACTCTACTATTAGATACATTGAAGAGAGTCTTCTAAGTTTTTGATTCTAAGATAGGGTATTCTCTTTTGTGTGAACATCATCAACAAATAAAAATCTTTATGATTTAGTTATTTTTTAATTTCAATCACCACTGATATCATTAGTTGAGAAATACTGAGCAATAAGTTTTAATGCATATTTGGTATTGTCCTAACACATTAGAAAATGAAGTGATAATAGAGATATAATATATAACAGAATTTATGCTGAATCCTCATTTTGTTGACAGCCATAAATAAGCTTTGGTAAACATTTTTTTGGAGGGGTAATGCTTTTTGAACTGGAAGGGAATTGATAAATAGAAGGATATTCAGATCTAAGACTTCATTGGCAAATAACACTATAACCAGTGGTTGGATATCAAAATCCACCTGTATTTTGGTGATATATGGTTGACTATGAATTGCTCAAGTTTGAGATATTTGAGTAGTTTCTTACAGGCTATACAATATACATTTCAATGTACATTTTTTTAAATTTAGAAGTATATGTTTATTTACGTATATCAGGCTCTTTTATATGATAAAACATAGTATTCACATAGCTGTCAATTCTGATTAGAAATTAATCAATATACTTTCTCATTGTGATGTACATTCCTGTATATGTATCTCTATTCCATTGATTTAAAGGAGGATAGAGATGTCAAAAATCATTTTATAATTTATTAAGAAAAATATATATTTTATTTATATAATCAATGGATTCATTAATTTCAGTTATTCAGTCATGTATCTACTTTGTGGTGCATGAGATCAAACTCAGGGCCTTACACGCGCTAGGCAAGCTCCCTACCACTGAGGGACAACTTCAACCTAAAAAAAAAAAATCTATTTTCAACCTGTACACACAAAATAGCTAGAACATGTATCTCAAAGAATGGAAACTGACCAAAATAGGAAAATTTTAATGGAAAACATAACCATGAACAGGCTTATCCTTCAAATCCACATACTATAGTTCTTTTCTTCAGTTTTGAACCCTATATTTTCATTATGCCTATCCTCTATACCCCGTTGAAATAAGAGAAAAAAATTAATCAGTAGTAGGCATCAATAGTGAGGTGACCCATCCATATGCTACCAAACAAGGCACACAATTACTGCAGTTTCTTTCACTGAGATAAAACCTGATGTAGAAGTGTTGTTAATCATTCTCAGAAGCAAGAAAAAGGAGTTATAGGAGTCTCTGCTCAGTCATGCATTATTCAAGGGAGCAGAAACATTTCTGAACTTAACTTCACAAACTCACGATTGGTTATAATTTGATTTCCAAGTACATTTGTTTATTAAGAGCAATTATAGATGCTCCTCAACTTACAATGGGATTATGCTCAAATAAACCTAACAACACACACAACACAAAAATGAAATGTCTTTACTATACCTAACCAACTAAACATTCTCATTTAGTATCACAATATGCTGGAGAGTGTGGGCTATTTCCTCTCATGATCATGTTGCTGACTAGAGCTTGGGCTCACTGATCCCCAGCATCACAAGAGAAGATCATACTCTATGTCACTAGCTCGGGAAAAGATCAAAATACAAAATTCAAGGTACAGTCTCTACTAAACACATGTTGCTTTTACACCATTTTGAGTTGAAAACTTTTTAAGTTGATCGTCTTAATTTGGGCAAATCAGTATATTAGTCCATTAGGAATGAGTAGTCTTCTTGTGATAACTAGCTGATATAAAATGATTTCCCTCCTGATTTGTTTATTACTTTTTGAGCTTCTTTACAGTTAACTCCCGCCTTTCCTGATACGCATCTGCTAGGTGAGCCGAGGCAATCAGGTTTCTGGGTCTGCAACATTGCAACTAGACTGTGGTTGATAAAATATTTGACAAAAGATGGTTCTTTTCTGAGTCATTTCTCAGCTTTTCCTGATGGAAAGTAGCACCACCACTTTTAATGATTTTTCTGGATTAAAAATGGTTCAATATCCCAAAAATAGTTTCATTATCAGATTCTATTATATCACAGCTTCTACCCAAATATCAGCCCCATTGACTCTGTGTCTCAAACTTCTAATTTTAGAGTGTGGAAAAGCCTCCACAAAGTGGGGACAGATTGTAATTTCAAAGAAATTGGCAAACTAAAAACGTGTCTCACAGCTACAAGAGCAGAGATCAGGATGTCATTATCCCTCTAATCCATGTGTCTCAAAGATATTACTATATAGTACCAGAGATAAGGATTCAGGCCATTTAAGGATAATATAAGAAAAAAATATAAATACAGTGCTGCCTATCAACTAAGAAGCATAAAATGAATAAATATCAAATGGAGGACCTCCCCAGAGTTAGGAATTATAAGAGAAGTGTTGCCAGGAATAGATTTACAGACTTAAATAGTAAACCATGTTGCCTTTTATAGAGTATATGAATGAAATTGGCAAGAGTAGCTAATTAATTATAGCTCATTAGTCTATCAAGTCTCTTGGTAGAATAAGCAAAACATTAACTTTTTATAATTATTTGGAGTCAATGTACTCCAAATGCAGTATGCTCCATCCATGAAGCATATACATTTTAACAGCTTTTGTTTTATATTTCCATGAAATTTTATACTTTATTTTTTTACATATTAGCATTTTGAGAACTAAAACAAAGTCAGGCAATTCATAATATAGTGCCAGTTGACAGAACATTTTAAATATACCTTCAATATGGCAAAATATAAGGTACATGGTTTTGTATTTTGTTCTTAGAATGTGAAAATGTCAAGTTTGATATAAAAAAGTTATTAAACTATAATACCAAAAAACTATAATGCCAAAAACAATGGTAGTCTACAAATGAACCAACCTTCAGGATCAAGTAGTTTCTCTATGCCTAACTGACGTTTGGCAATGTTGAATGCATGTTCCAGTCTTTGTGTGGCAGACTGCTGGCAAACCACACTGTTCCAATCAAACAGGTCTGGCCTGAAACACATACATACACAGAAAAATACAGATACAAATCAATCTAGACTGTTCCATAAGATTCACTTCAATTCTGAATTCTCATTCACAACCTGTGACCACAGTCTTTAAGAATTCATTACTATTCTTCTGTTATCCCTCAATAACATTTTTCATTTAAACATGTCACAATTTTAATTCCAAATCCTGACATTATAGGCCTTAAATATATATATAATTTTTGTTTTTTAATTATCCCAAAATAAAATTGAGATAAGAAGTTCCTGAAGAAAATAATTTATTCTATTTTATCTAACAACAAAATTATATTAATCTCATCTAATTTTACAGATTTGAATACTTAACACTTATAAGTAACTCTCAATTTTATAACCCTATACCATATGTCTTCCTGAATTCCACATCAGATTCAATTATCTACTCAGTATCCCCACTTACAAACCTCATGGGTCCCAAACTGAGCTTTTGTTATTTGTCCCCATCACACTCCTTAAAGTCCATTTATTTCTCTAACAGTTCTCCCTCCCTCAATTAACACAAGTTCAAACATGAAGTTGCTAAGAGGAAAACCCTTATAGTCCTTTTTTTGTTGTTTTTGGTACTGCAGATTGAATCCATGGGTACCAAACTACTGAGCCCCACCCCTAGCCCTTTTTACATTTTATTTAGAGACAGGATCTCTTTAGTTGTTTCAGGGCCTTGCTAAATTGCTGAGGCTGGCTTTAAACTTGTCATCTTCCTACTTCAGACTCCTGAGTCACTGGAATTACAGGCATGAGCCACCACATCTGGCCATGCCCAGTGTTTATAGTCATTTTTGATAAATCTGTCATTCTCACACAACTCTTGGTTCAAAATATACCTAAAATCTGAGTATTTCTCACTATCACAACTGCCATAATGCTAGTCCAAACTACCATTTTATTGCAAGAGGTTTCTGACTGCTCCTCTTTCTCCCATCTTTGATCTTGATATTCTATGTTCATGATAGTTTCCATAGTTATATGTTAGAATATGTTTTATCATATATTTCTTCTCAAATCCCTACCATAGGAGAAGTAAAATGTCAGACAAAGCCCAATTTGGTCTGGCTCTTCAGAAGATAACTCCCTGCCTTCATTTCTTGCCTAAATCCTTCCTATATTTGCCTGGAGTTATGTTCTTCAGAAATCCTCATCAGTCATTCCTCTACGTCTTTTGGGTCTTTACTCAAAAATCACAACATTGGTGAGCCCTACTTTGCTACTCCCTATCTAAAAATTCATGCCCCAAATCAAACTTACACATACCCATTTACTTGTCTTTTTAGCTGCTTTATATGGCTCTGATTAGCAGTTACTAATGCTTACCATATCATTTAATTAAGTTAATCATTTTATCTGTCTCCTCCATGAGAAGGTAAAATGTAGAATATTTTTGCCAATTCTTTTCACTACTAAAATCCTTCCTTGATATGCAGTAGTGGCTCAAAAATATTTGTCAACTACATGAGAGAATGGATGACCACACACTATATTTATGCCATTTTTTGATAATGGAGAAGACACAAGGGAATATAAGAGGCAGATGTTAACTTATAAAGATTTTAAATCTAATGACAAAAATACATATACTACAATCAGTTAGTTAAAATCTACATGTGAATAAATACAGATAATAAGGTTTTCTAAAAATATGTGGAGGGCAATAAAGTTGTTCAAGGCTTAAAAGAGTCTTAAACATTGTCTTAGGTTTGGGTTAAAAAAAGTATTTGAGAATCAAATAGAGTTTGAAGTTGTGTGAATATTAGAAAATCAAAGTTCTTAGAGAAGGAAAATACGGAATTAGGTAATCAAGAACTCATAGGCCAAGTATCAAGTGGGAAGAGGTATGATTAGGAAGGGGTGCTGGGATGACTGGGCATGAAGCCTTGGCTATTAACAAATTACACTTTATCCCAACAACATAGAAAATTGTTACAGAGTGATTCTTCACCTTTTCTGATCCTAGACACCTTTGAGATTCTGATGAGAGCTATGAAACTTTTATATGGACAAATAACCTATCTATATTGCAAATAAAATTACATATAATATTAGACCATTTGAATCTGTTAATGGACTCCTAGTTAAGAGCTCATGTCGGGCTGGGGTTGTGGCTAAGTGGTAAGCACTTGCCTCACATGTGTGAGGTACTGGGTTTGATTCTCATTGCCACATATAAATAAATGAATAAAATAAAGATTCATCAACAACTAAAACAAAAATTAAAGAACTCATGTTATACAAGGGAAGAAGTTACAAGGTGCCTTATTAATTATGTTTGGAGAACAATTTGAAACAAAGGTACAAATTTATTTCTCATTTCCTTATAAGCAGTTCCTACCTCATTAATAAATCAGTATTTTGAACACTTATAAGAAACCCAATGAAATCTAATCCCCACCCTCATTTACACCTAGTTACTCTAAACAGTTAACAATCTTTTGAAACCTAAAATATTTATATATTTGGGAAGTGCCTCTACTGATGGGAAAAATATGAGAAATAAAAAATTCTTAACTATTTGGAGGAGTTTCAACTTCATTATGCAACCTCTTCCTACTTTATTTCTTTGTCTCTAGATGGTTGGGAGTGGAATAGAATATGGTGGGAACATATGGAAAACTAGTTCTCTCATGTGCAGTAAACAAGATTTAAATGAGCATGATGGGAATAAGTAGAAATGCTTCCCATTCTAACCCTTTCACCTCCTTTCCTTTAACTTTACTTTGGCTACTAACAGACCTCCTGTGTATGGTGGTTTATTTTATGTAACTCATGAAATGTATTTGAGTTTCAGTGTTCTCATTTAGAGAAGGATTGTACTGAAATGGGCTTTGAGTTCAGTATCAACATTAAAAAGTGAATCTATTTTCAATCATTAAAATTAATTAAAAATCAACATATTAAATAGCTATGCTTTTCACATGCATAAAAATTGCAAAACTAACCAACTGTAGAAGAAACCCATCTAGCTTTGTATGCTAACATAGAGCATAATTCATAAATAAGAACATGTAACAAAGGACATCAAGCTTTTAAGGAAGCTAGCACTATAACTGACACAGTGTAGATCCAAAACCCAGATCTGCCATATATTAGACAAATTCTCTTAGGTAAATCATGTAACCTCTCTGTGACTCAGTTTCCTAATCTGTGAAATGGGGTAATTGGAATGTTGATGTCTCAGTAATAGAAGGAATAGTTTACTTAGAGCAGTATCTATAAAACAATAATTATTTTAAAACCACAGATTCTTTTACTTTGTCCTAAGGTTAATTTTATTTATGTAACAGAATATGTATTCAATTTGTCAATTCAACACAAAAATACCTATCTTTATAGAATAGATATACATGTTAAAAATATCGTAGATGCAAGAATATAAACAAAATGAGAGATGGAGGAAAAAAGAGAAAGTAGTGTTATGATTTCCTCATCCTTAATATTACATAATCAATAGTTCTTTTCTAAACTTGATGAAATTTTTTTTAAAAAGAGAACTATCATATCATTCAATGTCAAAGTTAAAATTTATGGGAACAAAATGATTATAATATCAGTAATAAAATTAGCAAATAGATGGGAATGAGAAGCAATATCTGTGGGCTCACTATTAAAGAAAAAATACAGGGACTGGGGTTGTAGCTCAGTGGTGGAGCGCTTGCCTAGCATGTGTGAGGCACTGGGTTCAATTCTCAGCACCACATATAAACAAATAAAAATAAAGTTCTATAAACAACTAAAAAATGTTTAAAAAAGAGCAAATACACATACTGTCAGAAATCAATTTATCAAGAATAAACATATATAATACATATTGTTATTACAACTATTAGAATAAAAAATTAGAACTAGCTGGACAAAACTGCATCTCAAGACAGCAATGTGATGGGGTAGGTTTGGGGTCATGAAAACAAATTTGATGTATTTTTTCCTTTTCCCCCAGCTCTAATGTCTGTTTTTGGTTTTGGTTTTGGTTTTGTTTTCTTCTGTTATAATAAAAAAAAGAATTAGCAAGATAATTGCAATTTTAAAGTCATTGCAAATTTATCTACATATTTTTTAAATATTTTCTAATCATTTATCATTGGGATTTCCTGTAAAAATAGAATCTGGCTTCCTTTCAACTGCACTGTAGTGGACTTTGTGCTTTAAAACAAAACTTTTAATTTCCAAGGCCGTTTGTTAATCTTTATGTTCTATATTAAGCTCATGCCTTTGTTCTATATAGCTTAGTCACTCAATTATTGAAATCAGGACACCTTATGACTTTTCTTAGTGTACCAATGACAATCACCTTGGAACACAAAGTTCCACATTTTTTTTACATAAACAATATGAACAACTGTCAAAAACAATGACACAGATGATTCATGAAAGAGCATTAACAATTGTAAGGAACCTCTTGAAAACTAACCACCTAATGTATAAAGTAATAGTTACTGATGATTCACTAGAACAGGGGAGCATATATGAATAAGGATATTTTGAAGGAGAAAGAGTGGGTCAGGGACAGGGCCATCTGGATCTATTTACTGTGTTACCTAGAAATATATTCAGAAATCATAAAACAGAACATTAACAAATGTAGTCTGTGAACATGCTTGCAAGATTTAAGTCTTCCACTTGAAAAGAAAATGTTAAAGAGCCAACAAGGACTGCATAACCTGATCCTCAATATTTTTGTTCATCTGCAAATGTGTACATGAAGAGCAAGATCAATATTTTTTCAGGCCCTTCGTGTGAAACATGTGGCTGCATAAATGAGCACTGGCTTATGATGCAGAATGAACATCTCTATCCCTTCTCACCTGACTATATTGAAGCTGTGGAAAATCTTTCTTTTGTCGTACTTAGGAAAAACAATGTGTTAACAATGCTTAACATGCTGATTGGGTGCCAGGCAGCCTTCTTTCTAAAATCAGGTTGCTGAGTCATTCACCTGGAAACCCAGTCTGGATGGGGTTAATTAAACCCAGCTGGAGCATGACACCTAACAAAAATGCTTATTTAGAGTGTGTTTGCCCTTGGGTTGAGTTTTACCATGAAGACAATTTATATTCTGAGCTTCTCTAGAAGCAAGATTGGCATAGGAAAATAGTAGACTTGACAGAAAAAAAAATCAAAGTGACAAAAAACAACTTCACTGAAAATTAGGGAAGATGCAATCCAACAGCATTTCAAACACAGGTAATTAGGCAATGCAATTGACTCTGGCTGGAGTAGAAGGTACAGGTAATAATACAATCAAAGTAGAATTCCCTTAGAGTAAATATAATATATAGATATATGGTATAGTATATATGACATAACACTATATATAGTGTATATAAATGTATTATATATTGCATATTACATGTTATATATAAATGTTAGTTTTTACATTGTTTTGCTTTTTCTTGAGCTCTTATTAAATCATTTACTGAACTTCATTATACAAGATAGTCAGATAGCTTTAGTGAACTTAGGAAATACAATATTGTATGGAACATAATTAAGGATGTTTGTTTCACTGTATTATACCGAGTTCTTTCTATGAGGATCCACAGAACTCAACCGTGCTTTATAGCAATTTCTTTGTAGCTCCAGAGAAATTGTTTCTTTTGATATTCTAAGCATTGAGTCATAGAATTAACTGTGTTCTGCTCTTTGCCTTGGTTGCTAAGATGCTCAGAGCCTCTTTTAACCCTGAAGTAGAAGAAAATATACAGGGCATCATGGTATTTGCTATATAGGTTTTACTATATCTCATGAGACAAATGTTTCTCTCTGTACATTATTTATCTGATGATACTGATAAATTTTACAACAACCACTAACATGAATTTTGGAACCATTTTTAGTTATATAGTTTAGGCTCATACCAATATATTATTTGTACAAGAGAACAATATCATTCTCAATAAAGTTAGAATACAACCTATTTGTTCTCAGAGTCCAAATTTTAAATGTTTATCTTCTCCCCACACCATAACCAATTTCATGCTCCAGGAATTTGATATTTCAACAACAAAATGATATATTATATGAAAAGTAGGAAAAATATGTTCCATCAGTACATTGTAATGAAAGGTTAGATCAGTATTATCAACATATGTTACATGTGACATGGTAGGAAATGATCTGGAACCAACCTGAGGTAAAATATATCATCATCATCCAAATGAGTACTTACAAAATTATGAAACAACTCAGTAGTATCCTTACCTATGACTATGGATGAGAGCATTCAAAGCAAGGCCATCAGACCAGCTAGTGGTGAAGTTGATGACATTAACCTGTGGATAATTACGAGTTGATTGTCGGACCCAGCTCAGGAGAATCTTTTCACTGTTTGTTTGTTGCAATCCAGCCATGATATTTTTCATTACATTTTTTACCTACATGTGTAAAGAGATATTTATAAGAAAATGTATTCCTTGAATAAAAACGCTGCAAACTTTAATAAGAAAGCCCTCTGTCTTGTGAAAAATCATGGGAATTTTAGGGCTAAATATTAATGAAAAGTAATAGATTTTACCGAGACTGAATCTACTAAAATTGGTTAGAAATCTGTTCTGAGTGGGTGGTGCCTATACCTTATCATTTGTTTAATATACTTATTGTTACTTATGGGTTCTGCCTTATTTAACTATGAATCTACTGTTTGTAGAACTGCTGATCTTCTAGCTTTCAAGGGAAGAAAAGAGACTTATGGTTAAATTAGACTTAAAATATTAGATGCATTTTTAGTCAATAACTTAAGATCAATCAGTGATTTTTTTCTCTTTGATAGGAAGGATAGGACAGTGGGTAATAAAACACTTTTTATAAGACCTAGGTTCAGGGACTGGGGTTGTGGCTCAGTGGTAGAGTGATTGCCTAGCATGTGTGAGGCACTGGGTATGATCCTTAGCACCACAATAAGACAAATAAATAAATTGTGTCCATCTACAACTATATATACTATATAGTATACATATACTATATATAGTATATTATATATATGTATATATATATATATATATACACACACACACATATATATGAAAAAAATTAACACACAGGTTCAAATTGTGCCTTTGCTATTAATTGTGAAAGATAAACTTAACATTTTTTAGCTTCAGTTTTCTCATCTAAATAAGAGTGTTGTAATATAGTAATTGTTTTAAAGAAAATCCTAGGTTCATACAATAAGTTATAACAATTCAAGTTATAATTATTGACTGAAATAAAAAATGACTACAGAAATGCTTGCATATTTAAAAATTTCAAAAATCAAATCACCCAAATTTAATGAAATAACTTAAAGTGATATTTATGCCTAAGACTATAGCTATGTGGCCTTGATTTTATTTTCATTAATTAGTTTCTGTACATTTCATTCTCTCCTAGGCTTTGTGTATCTGTAAATGATATTCAGCAGGATATTATATTTCAAAATTTCATTCTAAGTAATTCAATGCAGAAACCCATCCTAAGCATTTTTTCCAAGTTTCATGAATTCAGTGACACCTCATTATAGGATGTACTGTCAATGTACTCTATGAAAGAATATTTACTAGGCTACTTTTTAAATATAATTTAGGTCCCTTGTGAGAGATTTAAAGGAAGTATATAAGTAAACATGATTATTCATTACCACCAAGGGCTTTCCTTTTTGGAAGTTTATATATATATATATACACACTACCAAAATTTAATCAGATGATGAATATTTATTATTCATTCTAAATATGACATTTCATTTTGTTTATTCATCCATGTAGAAGTTAACAAATGCCTTTAGGGTAAATACATATTTTAACATCTTCAATTTTATACATCTTTTTATTAAACATTCAATGCAAAACTTTTGATATAAAAAATAAGTATAGAATATAGTATAACTGTATTTTGTTTATTTTTATGTGGTGCTGATGATCGAACCCAGTGCCTTACACATTCTAGGCAAGCACTCTACCACAGATTTACAACCCCAGTCCCCTATACTTATTTTTAAATACTTTAAAAAATATTTAGAATTATATTTCATTAATGTGGTAATAATATGATTATATGAAATGTTTGAATATATTTGTCATGATCTCTTGATAGCTGTACCTATTGTTTAGGGACAGGTTATCTACTTTTCTTGATTCTTCCTTGGCCTGCTTATTTAGTCAGTTACCCAGTGAATAAATAGGTCAAATTATATAAGATATATACTTTTCATATTGTATTCTAAAATTACAAAGTTCATAACCTACATGTACAGCAATTGTAGGACAGGAACTTGGTGTCCTGTGTTGAACCAGGGTTGGAATCAACAAATACTAGCATAGTGGTAGTGATGGATTTTCACTGATCAGTCCACCCTTCAATGATAAATAAAATTCATTTGTGAAATGCTTGGCCAAACTGCCCTCTATGTACATAATATTAAAAGAAAACAAATCCAAAACTCTTTTAGCATCATTGTCACTAATTCAGCTTATTAGTCTCAGTATCATTGGCAGGACTTCTCCTTGGGTGCAAATGTTTTGGAGAAAAACTAAAGGATAATGTGTAATAATCATTTGTTTTTTTTTTTTCCTACATAAAGAAGTATTGCCAGAAGAATCACTGAGCTGCACATAAAATGAGGCTATAAGCAGAAAATTTTCCTACACTAAGGAGTTACTGTCCCTGAAAAAAGAATCAATTTAAACTAATATGTGCGTGTATGTGTGTGCTACAAATATAATATAATTTTAAAAACGTTTTGTTATAGATGGACACAAATATTTATTTATTTATTTATTTTTATGTAGTGCTAAGAATGGAACCTATTGTCTCACATGTGCTAGGCAAGCGCTGTCCCACTTAGCTACAACCCCAGCCCTGAAATAATTATTTAATGGAAAAAATTAAAAGGTGGTTTATCAGTGATTTTAAAAAAGAAGTAGGCAAAGATGGTGTGATGGACATGGAGATGCATTGCCAAGGCTATCCTGAAAGGAAGGTCTTATAGTTCAAGCTGTCATAGCATCAGGGACTAACTGAGTTGCAGTCCTGTCACATAAGGTCACAAGCTTCCCAGGGCAACGCAAGTCTAGTGACTGATGAAAGAGTGTGCTATAAACACTCAGCCATTTTCATCCAACCTGGGACTACTTTGAAAGGTCATTTAGCTTCAACTTCACCATGGTGGGTGGTTGAATAAGATTGTTCTTGGGTCTGCATCATAACTGTTGCTCTTCCATTTTCTACTCCTACCACCTCTGCCCTTCTCCACGTATTGGTCCCAAGAGAATATTTAATAAATATGCTGCCTGCTAAATTCGACTTCAAAATCTACTTTCTGGAAATCAGCATGTGATCAGCATTCACTGCAGAGGAAGAACAGGGTGCAAAGAGGTAGGAGTAGTCTTCTGTAAGAAACAAATAGTTTGTATGAAGCTCTGCAAAAGAGCAGAATGAAAAGTGTTTTGCACAGAAGTTCATAGGTAGGAAGGAGTTGAAAGGACTTTCATCAGTGCAAAAAAATCATGATTCTTTCATGATTGTATGTTCTATAAATAATACAAATATATCAGTATGAATTTCCTTTGGAAATAAATACTTTCCTTGGCTTAGTCAGCAAAGATGGGAACTTAACTTCTAATAGAATACCACTGTTACTAAGATACAATTTGATTTCCAGCTGCTTTGCCTGAGTTTAGTTTACTACTCTAAAAAGGATGGTTTGCACTTAAAAAAAAAAAGAAAGAAAAAGGAAGAAAAAGATACCAAACACACATTGTCTACATGTCAATTTTGTTTAAAGCCACTTACTCCTGAAAATATGCATTATTTTTCAGGCTAACAATTTTATTTGAAGTGGAAACTAGAAAAACAGTGACAAGGATATAGAGTTAACATTGCTGACTTCAAAGAGAAGTCCTCCATAGCACTATTAATAACATAGCATGTGGCATTGGAAGAAAAGATTCACGTCATTTTGGTCTTAATAACACTCTTAATCTGATAGATCTGGAAAGTACATTAAGTTGACCAGAGTGTCCTTTAATCTTTGCTGAGATTCAAGGGCTTCTTCTACTATTTATGAGAAAGGCACACATATGATCTTACTAAAAACATATTTTGGAATTCAATGAGTTATGATGAAAAATTTTGACAATTTTTAAGAGTGTTTAGTATTTTTAAGAGACTGAGGCAAATAATGGAAGAGAAAGATGAGATAAGTAGGCCTTGTCTGAGAAGAGTCTATATCCTTGCAATCAGAATAAGGTGGTCATGCAGAATACAGGTGGAAAATAATAGGGTATAGAGCAGTCTCAGACAAAAAAGCCTAAAAATAATACTTTTAGTAGTCCTGGGTATAAAAGCTCTTCCTCTGCATGCTAATATAATCCTCCAAAACAAAGCCAAACAAAATGGACCACTCACAAACAAATTAATAAAACACCATAAATGACTGTTATGAAATTCTATCTTGAAGTGAGTTGAGATAGAATAGGAAAAGACTATGAGGAGATACAGAAGGATGAGATTGTATGAGAGAGTTTGGAGGATAAATACAATTGAAAGAGTCTTTTGGAACTATGCATGCCTGAGTTCTCCTCTTTGCTTTGTCATAACCAATATCTATGTTACTCAGTGTGTTCTGCAAACTGGGGTCTCTCCCTGAACAATTTGTTACTAAGCCCTAAGATAAATACAACTGAGAATATGTTGGAAACTTTTACAGCCATTTCATAGAGTAGTATTCACATTGATTGTATTTAATAATAAATAAAAAGGAAATTTGATTTTTTGTGTCATATCATTTATGGAATATTTCAGCTTTGTTGTATTTTACATATTATAGATTAAGGGAATACTCTTCCTCTGCCAAGCTATTATGAGAAGTGCTAAGGAACAGAAAAAAAAAAATTGGTGGGAGGTGGGTTATGTTTTCTCGCTGGTTTTATTTACACCATCACTACATGGAAAAGGCTGGAAATCAGCCAACTTGGGCTCATGTGAGGCTCTCATGAGCTATTCTCTGTTGTCAGCATTTATAGATTAATTCATTCTCTCTCTCTCTCTCTCTCTCTCTCTCTCTCTCTCTCTCTCTCCTCTCACATTGCTGTGAAATGCAGTTAAGTCTGTTTGGAATATTAAAAGACAAGAGAGATCAGTGTAGCTGCAGAGTTAAGTAGGTAAACCTCTGGCCTACATACTGTCTGATATAGACATAAGACCAAAGATAATGTAAGACCAATCTACATTTCAAGTAAAAAAAATAACTCTACTACATGAAGTAGTAATAAAATAAGTACCTCAACAAGGGACATCAAATATGCACATTGAAAGAAACTAGACACACACACATTCACACACACAAAAAAAAACACATACAACAGGTGTTACATGATTCTGCTAATATGAAATGTCAAAAAGGGCAAGTATATAGACAGAAATAGATGCATGGTTCTCTTGAGCTGCAGTAGGAGTGCAGAATGACTATAAATGGACAAGAAATTTCTTTTTAGGGCAATGGAAAAGTGCTAAAATTAGGTTGCTGTGATGGTTGTACAACTGTAAATAGAAAAAACTAAAATTTTTGCTTAATTAGGAGAAAAAAAACTATTTCTTCCTCAAGATAGTTGGAGAAGCCACTGAGAAACATAGTGAAGCCATATTCATACATGATGAATTTTATACTGAGGTCAGGAAAGTTTATAGAACAAAATGTCATTTCAATAGAGCAGTTTAAAAAAATAATCTCTACAAGTAATAAAGGCAGACATATATGAAGTATCCTCTTAATTCTTAAAATATGAGTGGAAATGCTAAGCAATCAATGTCACTTGTATCATACATCTCAAATAGAATTGGTGCACTTTATTGGCTGTTTTACAGATATGTTCTCATTTAATCTTGATAAAAATATATACATACACATTCAACCTTCTTTATCTCTTTTGACAGTGAGGGGGGCTATGGTACCCAAAATGCATGACATTATATCCAATGCCACTAAGATGTAAGTAGGAAAGTTTAAATTTAAGCTTATCTGATTAAAATGTAAATATTCCTTTCACTTAACTGAAAGATCTTTCATCAATTTTATAAAGGTTGAATAAATATAATATTCAGAATACTCTATCCTCAAGTGATTGATTAAAAATGCAATTTTCAAATCAAATTGTGAAGAAGCATATATAACAGGTATACTCATACAAATATTCATATCCCACTAATCTTTTTTTTTTGGATACTGGTATTGAATTTAGCTATAATATACTACTTAGCCATGTCCATAGCTTTCTTTCATTCTATTTTTTTATTTGTAGATAGACATAATACCTTTTTTTTTTAATGTGGTGCTGAGAATGGAACCCAGTGCTTCACACGTGCTAGGTGAGTACAATGCCACTGAGCCACAACCCCAGCCCTCATTCTTTCTATTTTGAGATAGGGTCTCACTAAGTGGCCTAGGCTGGCCTCAAACCTACAGTCTTTCTGCCTCAGCATCCTGAGTAGCTGGGATTACAGGTGTGCAGCACCATGCAGAGCCAATCCAACTAAACTTTTACACTAACAATATGCAATATTGAATAAAGCTTATTACTTTGATAGTCATTTAAAAAGGATACCTTTCTTTTTACAAAATTCTATACATTTAATTATAGTCATACTATATAAGACATATATTTGTGGAAAAATAAACATTTACTATTTTGGGACTTTGCCTTTGTTGCTTCATCTACTCAGTGAAATAAAAAATTGGAAAATATTCCTGCAAATGTACCAGATCCTACTTTATGATCTCCAGATTCTTAATATCTAACATGTTATGAGTTGTGTCAGTTTAAAAGGCAGCACTATAGAGATGGCTTGTTATTGTTAGAGGAATGTGTGTTTATTTTGCAGGTCAAAAGGTAAAAAAAATGAAAGAAAGGGTTAGCAATGTATAACATATTACCCCAAAAGAAAACAATCATTAGGATTTTACCTGCCAGTGGAGGATTATATTCCAAATCAAACCAAGAGTCAGTTTATGATTTCCATCTACTATGTCAGTGCTTCCAATATTCACTAAATCGACCTATTAAGAAAAGGAAAAATAACATTTGAAGGAAGGAAACAAAAATACTTATTTGTAAAGGAAACAAAATGTGAAGCTAATTGCATTTAGCTATTATTAGAACTTAGGCAGCATTACAGCTTTTAAAAAATAATCTAAAAATGAAACAAAATGCATTTGTAAATTCACTTTCCTTAACAAACAAGCATCCCCAAACAAAAATGTAGCGATAGGAAGTTAAAATACCTTTAACATGTGAATAGATTACTGAAGATTAAAAAGGCCAATCAGAATATCACCAAATAAAGTCTCAAATAGTGACAACTCATATAAGATGTTTAAGATATTCTTTCTGGTATAGAATTGAAACTAAAGAAGAAAGGGAGGGAGGGAGGGAGGGAGGGAGGGAGGGAGGAAGGAAGGAAGGAAGGAAGGAAGGAAGGAAGGAAGGAAGGAAGGTTGGAAGGAAGGAAAGCAGCCAGGGAGGAAGGGAGGGAGAGAAGAAAGGAGGGAGATAGGGAGAGAAGAACGGAGGGAGAGAGGGAGAGATGGAAGGACGAAGGGAGGGAGGGATCAAAGAAAGAGAGAAGGTAAGTTTATTCGTAGGTCCTTCTATCTTGCTCAGACCATGCTTTTAATGTTTTTTAGAAAAGTATTAGAGCTTTAACAAACAATAGCACTAATGACTAATTTTCTTTTCCTAACTCAGGACTGAATTTGTGAATCAAAATTTAGTAGGGTTTCATTTTTCAAGGCAAATATTTGTGCTATGGTTTGGATGTGGTATGTCCATGAAAAGTTCATGTGCTGGAAGATTGGTCCCCAATGTAATAGTATTGAGAGTTGATTGAAACTTAAGAGGTGGGATCTAGTGAGAGAAGCTTAAGTAAAGAAGGGACATCACCTTCAGAAAGATTAACATCCATTTCCAAGAAGAGGATTATGTATGAGTGAAATGAATTAGTTACCACAAGAGAGGATTGTTTTAAAGTAGTTTTGGCTTTCTCAGCTTTGATCTCTTGCTTCCATTTTTCAATGGGCCCACAAAACAAAGACTATCACCTCTCCTTCTTATGCTGCTAACATTTTTAGATGTGGTCAAGTCTAATATAAGAGTCAGACAAATAAGTACATGAAAAGATGTTTGACATTACTAGACATTAGTGAGATATCGCTATACATTTATAAAGACTAAAATAAAAGTGACTACTTCAATTTCTGATCAAAATATGGAGAATTGGATTGCTCAAAATTTGCTAGTAGAAATGTAAATGGTTCAGTCACTCTGTAAAAGAATTAGGCAGTTTATTATAAAACTGGATGTATATTTAGCATATAATACAGGAATTGTGCACTTCAATATTTATCCTAAAGGGATGAAAACTTAAGTTTAAGCAAAAACATACACATGATTCTAGCTTTATTTGTAATAGTCAAAAACTGGAAATAACCTAGATGCTCTTCAAGAATGAATAGCTAAACAAACTGTGATAGAGCCATACCACTAAATAATACTCAAAAATAAAAAGGAACAAACTATTAATACATGCAGAAACTTGGGTGAGTATCATGGAAATTATCCTACATGGGGAAAAAATGCCAATCTTCAAAATATTGCATTCTGTATCATCTTGTTATATAGCAGTTCTTGAAAAGATAAAATCATAAAAATGGAGATGAGAGTAGCAATTTTCAGAGGGTGGGAATGGGGATAGGAAATGTGGGTTAGGTAAAGGTAGTAAGAAAACAGCAATAAAAGGGATCCTTGTAGAGACAGAAGAGTTTTTTATCTTGACTCTGAACAAGGATACACAAATTTACACATGTGATGATACTGTTTAGAAGAGAGCACACTCATACATACACATATGCATATGTATAAGTCCAAGTAAAATAGCAGGAATATGAATAATATTGGTGGGTTTGATTAATGTTGATATCCTGGTCATCATATTATAGTTAATTATGTAAGATTCCAGAATATACTGATAATTCACCAACAAGAAAATGCCATCATTGGGCTGGGGTTGTAGCTCAGTGGCAGAGTGCTTGCCTAGCATGTGTGACACAGTGGGTTCAATCCTTAGCACCACATAAAAATAAACAAAATAAAGACATTATGTCCATCTACAACTGCAAAAAACATTTAAAGTGCTATCATTTACATTTCATATGGAGATTCTCATATGGCAGTATATGAAGGGTCTCTCTGTAATGGAATCCCACTATTTTTCCATTGATGCATTCATTTAACAAATACATTTTGAGTACATTCTAAGCACTAACATATTTAGAGCACAGAAAGGAAAAACCTTTCTGCTTTCATAGAAATTAATTTTACTGCATTGTTGATGACTTAATTATTTAAGCAAAAACAATGTGATTTTTTTTTTAGGAAATACATAAGGGGAATTACTGCTGATAGTAATGTTTTGACTTGCCACATAGTTAATCCCATGGAGATCTGGAGCAAGGAATAGGCAGTCCCTATCCACTGTTATAAAATTTTTTATCGTGAGAGGGAGAGGGATTCTCCATTTGCTTATCTTCATAAAATCCTTTGTGATGTCCAATTTCTATTATGTTCAGGTATTGTGCTCAGTTCTAATAAAGATGATTAAGGAAAAATCCCAAACATCAAGAAATTCACAAGGTAATAAGAGATCATATAATGAAAACTAATTACAATCTTTTAGGTTCTAGCAATTTCACATTTAGGTATATACCCAGAATTAAAAAGAAGAAAGAATTGGATGCAGATACTTTAACAGATATTTATACACCAATGTTCATAGCATACAATTATCCATGGTAGTCAAAAGGTAGAAATAGCACACACACGCAAAGGAATATTTTCAGTCTTAAAAAGAAATGAAATTCTAGCTGGGAATGTCAGTACACTCTTGTAATACCAGCTACTTGAAAGGCTGAGGCAGAAAGATTAAAAATTCAAGGCCAGCCTGGGCAATTGAATGAGATATCTTGATATAAAAAAAATAAAAGGACTAGGGATGTAGCTCAGTGGTAGAGCACTTCTGGGTACAATCCTCAATAAGAGAGAGAGGAAGAAAGGACTTTTTATTTTTAATTTTTTTAGTTGTAGATGGACACTATATCTTTATTTATTCATTTATATTTATGTGGTGCTGAGGATCAAACCTAGTGCCTCACATGTGTGAAGCAAGTGCTCTACCACTGAACTACAACCCCTAGCCCCAGGAAGGAATAACTTTGATACAAACTACATCCATGAACCTTGGAAAAATGCTAAATCAATGGATTAGACAAAGGGGGATGAAGGGAACGGATGGGGGATGGGAATAGGAAAGACAGTGGAATGAATCTGACAGAAATTTCCTATGTTCACAGATGAATACACCACTAGTGAAACACCACATCATGTACAACCACAAGAATGGAATCCTAATTAGAATAATATATACTTTGCATATTTATTATAATATGTCAAAATACACCCTACTGTCATGTATATCTAAAAATAATAAAAATAAATGTATCAAAAAAGAAATGAATAAGACAAAAAATAAAATATATGCATTCTTCCACTCATATGATAACCTGGAATAGTCAAATTCATAGAGATAGAAAGAATGGAAGTTGACACTAGGGAGAGGGGAATGGGAAGTTTTTGTTTAATGCAGGTAAATTAGGTTTGGGATGACAAACATAAAAACACCTCTGGAAATAAATAATGGTGATTACTGTCCATAAATGGGAATATACTTAATGTCACTTAATTGTACAGTTACAGTGTTTAAAATGATACTTTAACATAATAAATATGATGTTAGACAAACCCACAGCTAACACAATCAATAGGGAACATTTAAAAGCTTTTGCTTTAAGATCAGGAAGAACACAAGGATGCCTGCTCTTGCTATTTCTATTTCACATATTATTAGAAATCCTAGCCAGAGAAATTAAACAAAAGATAGATCATCTGTATTATAAAGGGGGAAGTGAAAGTATCATCTCATTTCCTCAAATAGAAATATCTATAGACTATTCAAAAACATTATTAGAACTAAAACTCAGTAAATTTGTAGGCCACAAACTCAGTATTCAAAAACAATATTGTTTCAATATACTAAAAATGAAACTATGTAAAAAATAATATCAAGAAAACAATCTCATTCACAAAGCTATTAGAAAAGTAAAATATTTACAAAAATTTAAACAAGATGGTGAAAGATGTGTACATTGAAATAATAAAAGATGATTAAAGAGAAAAATTGATGAAAGCAATTGAAGAATACACAAAAATAGAAAGACATCTCCTATTCATGGATTAAAAGAATTAATATTATTAAAATGCCTTCACTACCCAAAGAAATTAACGTATTAAATATAATTGCTATTAAAATTCCAATGACATTTTTTACAAAAGTAGGGAATAAATAAAGCAACCCTGAAGTTTATAGGATACCACAAAAAAACTGAATAGTAATAGCAATCTTGACCAAAAACAACTGGAAGGGATCACACTCCCTCAAATTATACTAAATTCATAGTAATCAAAACAGACTGATACTGCCATTTAAAAAAAGACACATATGCCAATTAAAGAGAATAGAGAGCCTAGAAATCTACATATTTATACTCAATAGGTTTTGCTCAAAATGCCAGAATACAAAAGGGGAAAGAACACTCAAGAAATGATTCTGGGAAGTCTGTACATCTATAAGCAGAAGAATAAAATCAGACCCTTATCTTGTACTATATACAGAATATGAACTAAAAATATTTAGAGACTTAAATATGATACCTGAAGTTGTAAAACCAGGGGAAGAAAACACGCAGAAAATTCTGTGACACTGGTCTAAAAAATAATTTGGGGGATATGACCACAAATGCACATGCATTAAAAACCAAAATAGATAAATAGCATTACATGAAACTTAAAAGCTTCTCCATAGTCAAGTAAATAGCAAAGTGAAGAGACAACCTAAAGAATGGGAGAAAATATTTGCACACCATACATTGGTTAATATTATAATATA